AGCACTGTCAGGTGGCCCCTCACAAAACAAACAAACAAAAAATATACAGTAAACAAAGGATACGAGGAATTTAGAAAAGAAGTTCTATCATCCCAAAGGCACTGAACTCAAATCCCCTTAGCCGTCCATCTGGATGCTTACAGAATAGCAAAGAAGCACTTGAAAAGTCTGATTATTCTCAGAAAAACAAAGATATGCACAAAACATGTCTCAAGAAAAGTCAGCTGCGTGCTCTTCACAATATCCTGGATCTGAAAACAACCCAGTGCCAAAGAACAGAGGGCTGTATAAAGAAACTATGGTGTGGCTACACAGTGGAATACCATGCGGCCAGGAAAAAATTTTCTTATAGATGGATGAACTGGAGATTATCATGTTGAGTGAAATGAGGAGAAAGACAGGCATAATATGTTTGCACTCATGGATATAAAAAATAATCTGAGACTGAAACCAAGGACAGGAACAAGGGTCAGGAGGGTTGGTGCACGGTTAGAAGTCTGTCTCAAGTGCTGGGGGAGAAGGCAGTTAGGATAGAGAAGAGACTAGTATGACAATAAGTGGGTAAGAACTTGGGCTGCCGGGGTAGGGGTCAGGGCTGCACTCAGGAGCAGCAAGAACTGGACAGGGGGTGGGGGGGCGCGGGGGCAGGATAAGGCTGACCCTGGAACTCCGAGCTCACCGGATGGAAACCTTTGACCATCTGTCACACTGTGAAAGTTCCAGAAGAAGAACAAGGGGCCGCAGACTCAGCTCAGAGGTCCTGGGGTGTGGCTCATGGGGGACAAGTCTGGTTCTATCGCCAGGTCCCCTGAGCAGGGTAGGGTGGACCCCTGCACCCTGCGTGCTGGCCCTCATAGTGCTCCATGGTGCGGGCAGTGGGGGTGGCCTTGGGCCGGCTGAACACTGCTCGGAAGGCCTCTGCCGCCCCCAAACCCTCCCGCGAAAAGGAAAGAACAGAACCCATGAAAGCAATTTTTCTTTTTGGGTCACACCTGGCAATGAAGTTACTCCTGGCTCATGTACTCAGGAATTACTCCTGGCAGTGCTCGGGGGACCATATGGGATGCTGGGAATCGAACCCGGGTCTGCTGCGTGCAAGGCAAATGCTCTTCCCGCTGTGCTATCGCTCCAGCTCCAAAAGCAACTTTTCTTGTGCGGGGAATCGCACTATTTCTTTATAGAGCAGTTCTGCCATCTCGTCCTGAATGATGGATGCAGGCACTTTCAATGGGCCTGGCTTGCTGCATGAGAGAGAGAGAGAGAGAGAGAGAGAGAGAGAGAGAGAGAGAGAGAGAGAGAGCGCTCCCCACTCATGCAAGCCTCTACCACCGACCAGCACTGTCCCAAGGACCCAAGCTCCGCAGCTCCAGACCCTCTGCTCGGGGCGTCGGGCGAGATCTGCACGCCAAGCCTCTTGAAGCTGATTCCCACCCCGCCCAGGTGGCTAGCGGTCAAGATTCCCCCCACTGCAGCCCCGGCCTCCGTCCTGCTGATCATGTGCTGACCTGGTACCCCCACACGATGCTCTGCAGCCTCAGCTCTCTGCCTCCCGGGGGAGCACCGAACACCCAGCACCCCAGGGACAGCCACACTCAGGTCATGTCCAATGACCAGGACTTCACGCGGCCTCACGCCTCGCTGGGCTCCTGGCACACCCCTTCCTCCTCCCGCCTCTTTCAGCTGCTGAGTCACAAGGAGCAAGCCAGCCAACATGTTTTTTGCTTGCCAAAAAAAAAAAAAAAAGAGAATTAAAAAAAACAAAAAAATGGGAGAGGAGATGAGAGATGAGGGCACAAGCAGCACTCGGGGCTGACCAGACAGCTGGGACTGCCACACGCGGATGTCCAGGAATCTGGGCTTGGCTCTCGGCCGGAAGGTCCCTGGTTCCACAGGGGAGCCAGGAGACAGCACCACCCAGTATTTTCATGCCATCACTGCCACGCCCTGGGTCTCTCCTCTGAGAGAGGTTCTTTTTTGTAAAAGAAAAAAAATCTATTTTTTTAAACTGAATTACAGTGAGATACACACTGACAGGGTTGTTTGTGATTGGGTTCCAGTCATACAATGTTCCAACACCCGTCCCATCACCAGTGCACATTTCTCACCACCAGCGTCCCCGGCCCCATCCCCCACCCTGCCTGCCTCTCTCTGCCCCTCCCCCTCTCTCCCTCTCTCTCCCTTCCTCCCGCTCTCCCCTCCCTTCTTCACCCCCCTCTGTCTCTTTCTCCTCCACCCTCTCTCCTTTTGAGCATTATGGATTCTGCAATCTCAAGAACATCACGTATTATGACATTATGGATTTGCAATCCCAAGGTTATCATGCATATTCCTTTCTCTACTTTCAGCACTCAATTCTAGTCCCGAGTGATCATTTCCAACTCTTTCTGTCATATGGTCTCTTCTCCATCCTAACTGTCCTGCGTGCTATACCCCCCCCCCACACACACACTTGTGGTGAGCTTCCAACCATGCACCAGTTCTCCTGGCCCACGTTCCCTGGCCTTGGATATTAGACTCATACTTTTGGTTTTTTTTTTAATCCAGAGAGGGAGGGTTTTTAAAACTTGAACTATTCCTTCCAGTACAATACCTAATAGCAGTCTCTAAAGTCTGTGTCATGACCCAAAGTTAGCAAGCGCTGTGAAGCCCACGTCATCAGAACAGCGAGAGCCGGGGTAAAGTGAGTAACACCGAAATCAATCCGGTCATCACAGGAAGGCACAGCACTGCCCCTGTTCCGCACAGCCTTCTTCCTTTTGTTTGTCTTGAACAAACGCCAGCTTGGAAACATTACAGAATAAAAGCCCAGGCATCTTCAGCCCTTGGGGAAGATTCAGTGCACACCAGCAAACCTCATGTCCTCATTCCTTATTGTCCCAGTATGAGCATGATGTGGGTTTGCTTGGCTTAGGAGCAGTGGCCCCTCCCTGCTTCGACTCGCTTCTCCCCCTACAGTGGTTTCAGTGTAAAGCACTGGATAGGAGGGTACTTGTCCGCGACAGCTGCAGGGCTGTGGGTATTTTTTCTGGATTTTGCTCTATTTATGGGGAAGATCAATTTTGGATTCTGTGGGCTCCATTTCCCCATATCATGGTGATCTAAATGCTTCAGTTAAAAGCAGCTAACCAGTTCTTTTGGGGTGGGGGTGGGGTTCACACCCAGCGATGCTCAGCAGTTACTTTTGGCTCTGCACTCAGGAATTACTCCTGGGGTTGCTTGGTGGACCATAGGAGATGCCAGGGATCAAACCCGGGTCAGCTGTGTGCAAGGTAAACACCCTCCCCGCTGTACTATCTCACCAGCCTCGTACCCAGTTCTTTCAAGTATGCCCTGTAGCCGAGTTTACCTTGGTTTAGATGGACAAGCTTGATAGAAACAGAATAGGAACATTAAACAGCACAGCCTGCTCAGTGAGACTGTGAGTTTGCTGTCCAGTGTAGAACTGTCCCTTCAAGAACAAACTTGTGACCATTTCCTATAGCATGCCTAGAAATCTCTGCAAATTTTATGTTTTAGTGAAAAAATAATTTTTTTTTGGTAAAAGGAAATAAAAGGGGTGAGGTGGTGGAGGATGGGGACGGAGAATAAATACTTTGACGTTTTGGAGACACAGGACGCTCACAGCAGCATCTACCCCATACCACCTGAGGCCTGCCAGAGCCGCGGGACACTGTTTGGGGAGGAGGAAAATGGGGCTCCTGTTTCAATAAAACTTTATTGACAAACATGTACAGGGGGCCAGGTTGCAGCTGGTGGAACCTGAGTGTGTCTGCCACTAGGCTGGCACCGCCCACCTCTCTCCCAGACACACCAACTCCGGCAGAGAGGAAAGGGCTGGCTGCCACCGAGGCTGCGTTGCCTGGTGTTGGGGGCACCTTTGGGCTGAAGAAATGGTGTATTGGGGAGGTGGGGTGCTCTCCCCACTCTGGGCCGCTGTTGGGTCTCTCAGTGCTCCTGCTTGGGTGTCTGAGCCTGAGATGCAGGGCGGAAATGCATCCTGCTGAGACTCACCCTCCCCCCCCCCCAAAAAAAAAAACCTACAGGGAATGTGCAAAGGACTGAAAATGCCTGGAGGTTGTTGTCCCCTTAGCTGGACTCCAAGAACACGGCCAGGTGCAGAGCTAGGCGATACACATCCCAGGAATGATAAAAGTCTTTGAGGTTTTTGTTTTTTCCCCCCTTCTTCCTTTCTCTTTTTCTTTCTCTTTTAGCCATGGGGGAGAGCTTGGAGCTCTTCTTTTACTTATTTATTTTTTTATTGAATCACCATGAGATATGCAGTTACAATGCTGTTCATGACTGGGTTTCAGTGTTCCAACACCCGTCCCTTCACCAGTGCACATTTCCCACCACCAATGTCCCCAGTTTCCTTCCTGTCACCTTCCCCCGGCTTGTCTCTATGGCAGGCACTTTCCTTCTCTGTCTCTGTCCCTCTCCCCTGTGGGATTACGGTTTGCAATGTGGGTACTGAGAGGTTATCAGATTTTGTTCCTTCCCCTCCTCTCAGCATGCAGTTCCTGTCCAGAGTAACCATTTCCAACTACCGTCCTAGTTGTCCCTTGCTGTCCCAGCTGCCCTCTGCCAAGCTGCTTTGGAAAGGACCCCAGCTGGTGGGGCTCAGGGGACCGCTCAGGGTGTCGGGGATCCAACCCAGGTCAGCTGCATGCAGACAAACACCCTCCCCCCTGCAGTACGGCTCCAGCCCCTGTGGCTTTTTTTTTTCTTTGCTTTTTGGGGTCACACCCAGCGATGCACAGGGGTTACTCCTGGCTCGTGCACTCAGGAATGACGCCTGGTGGTGCTTGGGGGACCATATAGGAAGCTGGGAATCGAACCCGGGTTGGCTGCGTGCAAGGCAAATGCCCTACCCGCTATGCTATTGCTCCAGCCCCCGTGGTTTCACTTTTACTGGGCACATGCAGTGCTGTACAGAAACATCGTGCAAACCCCTGTGGATGTATGTGGCCCGGAGTCCTCCCCGGGAACTGCCGCGTCCCTACCTTCTTGACTGAGAGGTCGTGGTCCAGGTCACTCTCCGAATCGTCCTCGGGCTCCTGCTGGTCCTGAAGGTCCTTCATTTTGATGAGGAGCTCGGCCTTAGGGGCTGATGTGCTGTAGTAGGCAGAATTCGTGGCCAGGGGCATGGCTGCCAGTGCGCTCGCCTCTTCTTTCCTGGGTGCAAGCGGTGGAGTGTCCGTTACCTCCCGCCCCCTTCAAGCCATGGTTGCCACCAGCCCAACGGAGAACCCTCAAGGTCATAGCATCGCATTTTCGAAAAAGGGAAAAAATGGTCCCACAGGCAGAGACAGATAGTACGTATATGTGTGTATATATGTGCGTATATGTGCATATGTATCTATGTATATATGTATGCATACATGTACATATGTATATGTGTGCATAAGTTTATATATGGGTATATATGTATATGTGTGTATATAAGTATAGAAAGTGAGTGTGTATGTATATATGTATGTATGTGTGTATGTGTATTTATGTATATATATGCTGTGTGTATATGTATATATGTGTGTGTGTAAAGGTAAGGTAAAGGTAAAGGCCCTCCCGTTGTTCATCGATTCGCTCGAGCGGGCCCAGTAACGTCTCCATTGGAGACTTTGTTGTTACTGTGTCTGGCATATCGAATACTCTCGGTAGCTTGCCGGGCTCTCCGAGAGGGGCGGAGGAATCGAATTTGGGTCGGCCATGTTGTCTGCGTGCAAGGCAAACGCCCTACCCGCTGTGCTATCGCTCCAGCCCATGTGTGTGTGTATGTATAACAAATCTGGAAACTATGAAATCCCATCTGGGATGCAGGGAGTGGTGAACACCAGGCCATGGGGTGGGTGCCTGGGTCTGACTTGGGCTTGGTTCTTCCTTTGCGCTTTCACTCCCCTCGGGGATGGGCATCCGGTGGGAGAGGGGCCCGGCTTGGCACTTAGTAACCCAAAGCCTGACAACGCCCCTGCACGCACCCACACGTGTGGCTGCCTCTCTCCACAACGAGAAAAGTTGGCTCACAACCCCGCACCCCACGCCTGTGGCTAACTCTTGACTGTGTCACAGCCCACAGGCCAACTGGCCCTGGGCACTGTTCTAGGCTGGGCAGCAGCTGGGCTCGCGCCCATGCCTACAAGATACCTGCCAACGTGCCAATGCTGGTAGCCCAAACCTCAGTGGGAGATGCCCCTGGGGATGCCCTGCCTGACCACTGGCATAAAAGGGGCAGCTCTGCCCAGCACATGTCCCTTCCCCTCCCTCCGGGCAAGCGAGGCAGGGCCCGAATGCCTCAGGCTCAGCCTTGCCTGGAGGCCTTCAGTTCCATCTCCCCAAATGCCACAGGTCAGTCTCGCCCGGGCGTCGGAAGAGCCCCTACATGTTCCAGTGCCTCTTAGGATCAGCAGTGGCCAGTCCCAGCCCCCACTCTGCCCTCCGTGTCCAGCCACCTGCCAGTCCCCCTGTGCGGTGCAGCCACTGAGATGCGAGGCCGATGGGCCAGTGTGGTGCGGGCACCCACAGCGTGGACTTACCTGTCGTCCGCAGCGCGAGGGGAGGGAATTTTGGGCAGCAGCTTCCTGCGCTGCTGGGCCTCTTCCAGGAGGTGCTCATCCTTGGGGAAAATGCCCTCCATCAGGTCCATGGTGGTCCTGATCTTCACACTGGGGTCCAGGATCTCGGCCAGGGACTTGTCCTTCCCCACGATCTCCCGGACCAGCTCCTCTGACTTCAGGTCCTCGGCTGACCTCTCCTTGGCCTTGGCGTAGCCGGTGGGGGCAGAGCGGGGGCCAGCCAGGCTGCCTTCCTTGGCGGGGCCTGGGGCCCGGGGCTCGGCCCACTGACGGCTGTACACGCAGAAGCGCGAGTATGACTGTTCCGAGGTGCTGAGCGTCTTGATCTGGTCCCGCTCCAGCCCGCTGGGTAGGGCGGGCGGCGGCGAGGTGTGGGCCAGGCCCTGGCGGGTGTCCTTCTCAGGCTGGCTCTCGGCGTGCACGATCTTGATGGGCACCATCTTCACCGTGGTACGGCTGTCAATCACCCTCTCGATCCTGCGTGGGGCAGAGGGCACAGCTCGTGGCCCTGCGGACGCCTGCCACAGTCGCCACGTCTGCATTTTCCTTTTTATATTCCACTCTGTTTTTCTATCAACTGCCTCGTCATTAATATCTTTCTACATATATTTCTTAGTACTGATTCTTATTTTTATTGAGCCATCATAAGATAGAGCATTATAAAGCTGTTCATGATCGGGTTTCAGTCCTACAATGTTCCAACACCCATCCCTCCACCAGTGTAATTTCCCAGCATGACAACGCTTGGGGAACTGTGCAGTGGTAACAGAGCCAGCTGGGAGCCGAGCGGCCTCCTGCACGCAAAACTTGAACCCAGACTTCCTCGCCAGGTCCTAGCCGCGTCTGTCTTTCGTGGGGGTGGGGGTGGGGGCGGGCGGTGAGCCTCCAGGGAACAGACGCCTGAGATTTCTTATTTAGGCCTCTCGGTCAGGGTACTGTGGGTTCACGTGTCAGAAGGGTCGCTCGCACCCCTGAGTCGCAGGTGCCCTTTCAAGGCCTCCTCTCACCCTGTTGCCATGCGGTTCTCCTCCCAGGGACACAAGGACAAGTGAGCAGGGCACTGCAAGCCGGAGACACAGTACAGGAGGGACAGCACTTGCCTCGCATAGGGCAGAGCTGAGTTGACTCCCTGGGAGCCCAGAGGGTCTCCCCAGCCCCGGCCAGGAGAGATCCCTGAGCACAGAGCCAGGAGTCAGCCCTGAGCACTGCTGGGGGTGGCCCAAACAGAAAACAAGCAAACAAAAGAGGAACTCAGGAATTTCTTCTCTCCTCCAGCAAAACCCCGTAAAAGCAGGGCGTTTCCTAGGCGCACCCAACAACACCTCCTTTTTCCTTTCTTTTTCTTTGTTTGGCTGCTGTTGTTTTTTTGAGCTGTGCCTGCCATGTTCAGGGCTTACCCCTGGCTCTGTGCACAGGGATCACTCCTGGTGGGGCTTGGGGGACCCTATGGGGTGCTGGGGATCAAATGGGTTGGCTGCGTGCAAGGCAATCGCCTCACCCCTGTTCTCTCCCTCTCCGGCCCTCACCTCCTTGATAACACCTGTGTGCGGGGGTTACCCAGCAGGCTGAGAGCAGGCTTGGTACATGGGAGACTGGGGCTCCATCTCCGCCACAGTGCAGTCTTCCAAGCACCACCAGGAGTGACCCTACCCCACAGACAGACAGACAGACAGACACACACACACACACACACACACACACACACACAGAGCACTGAGTTGAAAGTAGCTCTAAGAAACTCTGAATAGTACTCCCACCAAAATCCCAAAAAGCTAAAACAAAACACAAAACCCCCTGAGAAAAACCAATCAACCCAGCTCAATGACCACGCGTGCCTGGGATGTGACAGCCGACCTGACACTACACGTGCAGTGTCACAGCAAAGGAGCATCCAGTCACTGTGCCGAGCAGGAGCAGGCTGCCAGCGAGCCATCCTCCGGTGTGCCTTGCATGCACGCCTGCGAACCCCTCCCAGGGAGCCCCGTCTCCCCCTCCTCAAGTCAGCTGGAGGGAAAGCCCACAGAGCAGCCAAGCCTCATCCCTGGCACGGGCCCAGCCCCGCCTGGCCCCTGCCCCATGTGGGCACGCTCTGTGGACGGGCGGGCCCCCACCTTTACCTCCCCTAGATCGTGCAGCCAGCGGAAGTGGGGGGGAGGGCGCTCACCCTGACCTCGCGCTGGAGCCTCCAGTCCTGCAGGAAGGGCGTCTGTGGTGGCCGTGACCAGGCCCACAGTGCAGTGCTCCCTAACAGTGAACTCACCCACTGCCTTTGGGGCCCGGCCCTAAGGCCAAACATGCCAGCGGCTCCCTGCCCCGCCCCACACCCTGTGACCCTGTGAAGTGGCCTGACATGGCGCCTGGCCAGGCCACTCAACTGAACAACACCTGATAGTGACCAGCTGACCACTCAACTATAGTAGGCCTGACCGCCTGGCTGAGTCACTGAGCAGAGAAGGAGGCCCGGAGCCCTGCCGGTGGCCTCCTGACTGCACGCACACCATCCCCATACACACCCATCCTGAATCTCCCCAACAATGTGGACCCCAAAAACCCACGGACAGGGCCCCAGGAGACTGGCAATCATCCCTTAGCTTAAAAAGGTTTTTTTTTCTCTCTTGCCTTCTAGAAACAAGAAGAAACAGAAAACATAGGGCTGATTTCACAAGTTCACAAATCCCCTTATAGGACAGGATTTCATGCTTAAAAACTTTAATTTGTGTGTCTGTTCATGTGGGGGAGGGGCGGGGGTGCTCAGGGCTGACTCCTGGCTCTGCACTCAGCGATCCCTCCTGGAGGGGCTCGGGGGATCCTCTGGGGTGCCAGAGATCGATCCTGGGTCAGGTGCATAAAAAACAATCTTTTTCTTGGGGCTGGAGTGATAGGACAGTGAACAGGGCACTTGCTTTGCGCACGGCCTACCTGGGTTCGATCCCTGGCATCCCATAGGGTCCCCCACGCACCACCAGGAGTCGTGTCTGAGTGCAGAGTCAGAAGGAACCCCTCAGCATCACCAGGACTGACCCAAAATGCCAGGGAAAAAAATCCCATTTTTTCCCCTTAACTAAAGGTGTTCTCAGTTACGCAGCTGGGCAGAACCCCAGGTTGTTTCCTGCTGTGTGGCCGAATGATTTGGCTAGGAGCCAAAACTGGCAGTGCTCAGGGGACCTTGGCTGTAGGGGCCAGACTCAGGGCCCCCAACATGCTAAGTGCTCTACCACTGAGGTAAGTCCATAGCCCCTGATGCATGTTTTTGAGGGTGGGGCAGCTCCCTGAGTTCTGGGTGCAGGGTAGTGCCATGGAGACTGTCCACAGGTGCTCTATTTGTGGTCCTGCCAGGGAGGGAGGGAGTGGGAAGGGGGACTTATTTGCGACCCTGCGGGGGAAGAGGGGGGTGTGGGAACGGGGCTTACTTGTTCTATTTTTGGTTTACTTTGTTTTTGGGCCACACCCGGTACCACTCAGGGCTCACTCCTAGACTGATGCTCATGGATCAGTCGTGGGGGACTCAAGGGAGGCTGTGGGATGCCAGAGATCAGACCCAGGTTGGCTGTGTGCAAGACAAGTGCCCTCCCAGCTGTGCTCTCTCTGGCCGCCTCCATGCACTTTAAGCCCGGAAACTTCCTGCACACTGGGGTATTTGGCTTTTCTGTTTTTTCCTGCATGGCAGGCAGGTGCACTGGCCCTGCAGAAGTGCCACGACCAACCGGTGGCCGCAGGACTGAGCAGATGCTGGATACTAACCCTACGTGCTTTAGGCTTCGTCAGTGAGTTGCCCCTTTTCCTTCCCCTCACCCTGAAAAGCTTACAGTGCCCTCATGAGCACCCCTAATCCCCCCAGTCTATCTTTTACCTTTCCTTTGTGTTTTACCTCTCATTGTTACAATTCCCCAAGTCAGTCTTGGTTACTTAGAAGTCAAACCCCGTGACTCTGGACTTTGTATCTACAGTAAGCTACTTGCTCTGTATTTGTAGTGAATGCCCTGCTTTTCTATTCCCCCTATAACCATTTCATAGTTTACTATCAGGCAATACTCTTTTCTTAAGCACAGAAGGACCCTTAATGCCGTGCTCCTGATAGTTGGGAACTCACTGACTCCTTGGGAACTCCACTCCTGGACAGCCATCATAATGACCTGACTCAGGCTTGACTTGGTCTTTAGTTGTTGCAGTTCCTAACACCTGAAAAAGGGGGGTCCCACCAAAGGACCTTTGGGTGGACCCAGGGCAAGCGGCAAAGCTACCCTGGTATAGAAATGGAACATTCTGGAAAGTATAAAGCACAGTCTTCATGCCGGCCCCCCTATGACTTAAGAGACAGGAAGGACCGCATGGGGGACAAGCGCAACCAGCCTGAGGAATTTACGGTAATGCCCAGTGGGCTCTGCCCCTGTAGCCCAGAGTACTGAGTTTTGGGATCTCTATCTCTTAATGTGTTTACCTGAATAACTGAAACTCTTTCTTTTTTTTTTTTTTTTTGCTTTTTGGGTCACACCTGACCTTGCACAGGGGTTACTCTTGGCTCTGCACTCAGGGGACCATATGGGATGCTGGGAATCGAACCTGGGTTGCCCACAAGCAAGGCAAATGCCCTACCCGCTGTGCTATCTCTCCAGTCCCTGAATAACTGAAACTCTTAATAAGGTGTAAACTTAATTGTTTAATATGTACTAGCAGCAAGGGAAAGAGAAAAGCCATATGCATGCCCCTGGGAGCCAGAGTATTACCCTGAGTTAATTTCCCTAAGAGAACTGCCTCCGATGAAACGCTTTACCTCAGTAAATGATCAGTAAATGATCAATCACACCTACGTGCAGTTCTGTAACAGAAACACCTCAGATTTTGTATAAAGGCTACTTGGTTCTGGAATTAAATGGGCCATTTTGACCATCTCTTCGTGAATCTTTCAGGCACTGAATGCATCGTACACTGAAATTCACAGGCATTTTTTTTTCAGGGGGGTGGGGGTGGGTCATACCTGGCTGTGCTCGGGGCTTACTCCTGGCTCTGTGCTCAGGGATCACTCCTGGCAGGGCTCGATTTGGGGGGGCATTAGGGAGGAAAAGTGATACCCACTTGGGGCAAAGCTGGCCAGCCCTGAGAGCTAGATGAAGAGAAGAGACTCACGGAAATGGGGGTGGTTCTGGGTGAACCCAGGGCACCAGAGCACTGTCTGTGACCCAGAACAGAGCTCCGGCCAACCCCCATGGCCCTTCGGCCAGTTCTGCACTTCAGCGGCTCAGTGGTGGTAGAAAAACGGCTGGTTGGGGTACGTAAGTACCTTTGAAGCCACATGTGGGATGGACCCTGACCGGCATCGTTAGATACAATAAAGTTCCCCCCAAAGTCCAATTATGTCCTTTCCTCTTCTGAGCTATTTTGAAGCTTAAAAAAAGAGAGAGGCACCAGAGCGATAGGACAGCAGGGAGGGTGTTTGCTTGCCTTGCACGAGGCCAACCCGGGTTCCATCCCTTCATCCCACAGGGTCCTTTGAGTACTGCCAAGAGTAATTCCTGAGTGTAGAGTCAGGAGTAATCCCTGAGCATCATTGGGTGTGACCCAAAAAGCAAACCAACCCACTAAGCAAACAAACAAAACACAAAGAAGTAGAGCCAGAGAGAGTCCAGGCATTAAAAATGCTATCTTGTGCCGACGCGGGGAGAAAGTGACTCTCCTTACTGTGGGTGGCAATGCCGACTGGTCCAGCCCTTTTGGAAAACAATATTGACATTTCTCAAAGAACTAGAAGTTGAACTCCCATTTGATCCAGCAGTGCCACTTCTGGGAATATGCCCTGGGGGCCCAGAGACACACAGCAGAAACACCATCTGCCTTCTGTGTTCACTGTAGCACTACTCACAGTAGCCAGACTCTGGAAATGACCTCAGTGCCCAAGAACAGACGAATGGATATGGGACATCTACACAGTGGAATACTATGCAGCTGTCAGGAAAAATGAAGTCATGAAATTTGCCTATAAATGGATGGACATGGAGAGTATCATGCTGAGTGAAATGAGTCAGAAGAAGAGGGACAGACATAGAATGACTTCACTCAGTTGTTGTAGATAAAAAAAAAATAGCTGGACATTAATAGCTGGAAAAGAACTGAGTGCAAAAGTAGGTAAAGGACAATAACAAACTTTCAGTATCGGGTATCACAAAGCACAATGCCCAAAGAGAGAGCGGGGAATGCCTGCCACAGAGGCAGGCTGGGGTGGGGGCGGGGTGGCGGGAGGGAACCTGGGGACACTGGTGCTGGGAAGTGTGCCCTGGTAGAGGGATGGGTGTTGGAACACTGTACAACTGAAACCTGATCATGAGCAGCTTTATAAGGGTCTATCTCACAGTGACTCAATTTTGAAAATAAAAGCCCGTGTTGCAGAGAACAAATCCGAGTTTGATTGCCAGCACCGCACAGGGTCCCCTGGGAGTGAGCCCTGAGTGCGTGGCTGGGAGGGAGCCCTCAGCACCAGGGGGTACGGCACGAAGACCACAATGGGGGGTACTAGGAATCGAACCGGGTGAGCCGTGTGGCATGCTCCGGCCCTGGTCTAAACTGACTGGCTACCATGATTCAGAGAGTCACAAATGAACTTCAGAAGAGAGCAGCATGCTGCAGAGACGCCTCCAGACCCCAAATATTTTTAAAAAATTGTCGAATTCCAGGAGCGCTCGGCCACTTCCGTGGCCACATGACATCTCATGCTATTCTTAACAGCAACACAAAAGAAATTATTCAGTATCCGCCTAAGGAGCAGGCTTGGGTGGTGGTGGGAAAATCAGAAATAATGGTAGTGGGAAGGTGTCATGGTGGTGAATAAATAGCAGCACTCCTACATTAAAAAATCAATCAATCTGACTGGTTAAAGAAACTTTGGTACAGCTACACAATGGAGTACTATGTAGCTGTTAGAAAAGATGAAGTCATGAAATTTACATACAAGTGGTACTACATGGAAAGTATCATGCTAAGCGAAATGAGTCAGAAAGAGAGGGACATACATAGAAAGATTGCATTCATCTGGGGGACATAAAGTAACAAAATAGGCGACTAACACCCAAGAGTGGCCGAGATTAGTACCAGGAATTTTGCTCCATGACTTGGAGGCCAGCCACACACGCTAGGGGGAAAAGGGAGCTCAGATAGAGAAGGGAGCACCAAATAAAGGGTGTTGGGAGGATCCTCCCAGGATGGGAGAAGCATGTTGAAAGTAGACTATAGACCAAACATGATTGCCACTCAATGCCTCTTTTGCAAACCACAACACCCAAAAGGAGAGAGAGAACAAAAGGGAATGCCCTGCCACAGAGCAGGGTGGGATGGGGGAGTAGGGGGTGGGAGGGATACTGGGATCTGTGGTGGTGGGAAACGGGCACTGGTGGAGGGATGGATATTTGATCATTGTATAACTGAAACCCAAGCATAAAAATTTGTAAGTCTACAACCGTACCTCATGGTCTCTCGCTAATAAAAATAAAAAACTTAAAAAAAAATAGCAAAAAAAAAATCAATCAATCAATCAATCAATCAACTGAATGGACATCTAGGAGAAACTGTGATCACAGCCGCAGAGGCTTGGCCCCCAGGAACCGAGGCATGTGGGGGTCAAGGAAGGGCTTGCAGGACTGGGTCCCTGCCTGCTTCCTGGGAGCCCGTGCAGCTACCCCTCCCCCACCCAGGACCCCCGCGGGGCTCACAACCCTCCAGGCCCACAGCCCCGGGCACTCCGTACCTGGGGGCGCTCTCGTCCTGGAGGAGCAGCGGGGGCTTGTCTGTGAGCTTCTGGGGGGCGAACTGGGGCGAAGGGGAGCGAGAGGTCTCCATAGCGGACGTGTGCCGGGGCCGGCAGCTGGCGGGGAGCGGGGCTTCCTGCTGGGGGGCGCTCGCTGGCTCATCTACCTGCCATCTGCCCTGCTCGCTGCTCTCCTCCGTGGGGCCTCCCGGACTCGGCAGGGGCGCTGGCCCGAGGACGGGCTGGCCAGGGGCGTCCAGGTGAACGCTCAGGTGAGTAGGGTCGTCTAGGTGAGCACTCGGGGGAGAGCTCAGATGAGTGTGGTCGTCCAGGTGAGCACTCGGGTGAGCACTCAGGTGAGCGGAGTCAGCGAGGTGAGCACCCAGGTGAGAGCTCAGGTGAACGGAGTCGGCGAGGTGAGCGCTCGGGGGAGAGCTCAGGTGAGTGGGGTCGTCCAGGTGAGCACTCGGGTGAGCAGAGTCGGCGAGGTAAGCACTGTCGTCCAGGTGAGCACTTAGGGGGGAGCTCAGGTGAGCGGGGGCGCCCAGGTAGGCCACAGTAGCCGTGTCCCTGGACTGTGCAGGCTCGCGATGGGGCGGCGGGAGCCGCTGGGTGGGCGTCTTGGGGAGGGGTTGAACCCGCGCCTTGCTGTCCGCGTGTCTGCAGTCACGTGGGAGAGTCCCCGCTCGGCTGTGGTCTTCCGTGGCCTCCTCAGGATCCTCCTCAGGGACAAGCCCGGGCTTCCGTGGCGGTGGGACACCTGCCCCACAGGGTGCATCCACGCGTCTGGGGGAGGAAGGACACCGGTGAGACCCCTCGGACTCCCTGGACGGCCCATGTGGGAGCACCACCACCTGCGTCGGGACACGCTCCGGAGCTTCTCGGACGAAAACTCCCTGGACGGTCCACGGCGCAGGGCTGGGCGAGACAGCACAGGGCTGAGGCACTGGCCTTCCACCCATCCAGGGTTTGATCGCAGCCACTGTCCCCCACCACGCGCGGCTCATGGCTCGCTCGGGACAGACCCCGAAAGCCCCGTATGGCCAATATCATGGAGATCAGCCCCAGCACCTCCACCCACACCCCCGGCCAGAGGCGCGGTCACTGGGAACCCCCAAAGCACACAGGGAGGCCTAGAGACAGCCTGAGGCAGGGCCGGGGTTCGTGCCACACAGCCAAGCTCAATCTCGGCACCACTGTCCCTGGAGGACTGCAGGCAGCGGAACCCCAGACAGAGCCAGAAGGAGCCTGGACGCTTTATGACAACTCTCCCCCCCAAAAAATACCCAAACCAAAACAGAACAAAATTCAAGTGAGAACTTCATCTTCGCCAAAAGAAAGCAAAGCTCCCACTCCAAGGGACCCAGCCCCGGCAGCCGAAAACCTCCAGAACCCAACTGCTGCCACGCTCATGGCCACTTCCCACACGCTAGGCCGAGTCTCACGCATGAGTGAACATATTCTTGGATGTGGCCATGCGACACATCATAAGACACTTCCGACCCATTCTCCATAAGTAACACACCACATTTGATGGGGTTCGGGTAGTAGGCAGCCAATCATAGAAGGAAATATATATGCATATATACAAATTTTCATATAAATGAAAGTTCACATCACTCAACCTTTAACAACATGTTCGTGATATCCTAAAGAATGTCTTAATGGCCCCTGCCAAAATAGAACAATCTTCACTGTTTCCTATATGAATACTTTTTTGTAGCATTTTCAGCGGTTCTTCATAACAGACAATACAAAATATATTATTTCAGTTGTGCTCTGGGACAGGGATTGGGGCTTAAGATAGAAACAACCCAAATTTGGTGGCAGGAAGGTGTAATGGTGGTGGCATTGGTGTTTGAATGTTAAATGTAATCAGATATTGTGAACTACCTTATTTTTAAAATTTTTTTAATTGAATCACCGTGAGATAGCCCAGCTAGAAGGGCGTTTGCCTTGCATGCAGCCGATCTGGGTTCGATTCCTTCGCCCCTCTCAGAGAGCCTGGCAAGCTACCGAGAGTTATCTCGCCTGCACGGCTAAGCCTGGCAAGCTCCCCATGATGTATTCGATATGCCAAACACAGAAACAAGTCTCAAAATGGAGACATTACTGGGCGCGCTAGAGCAAATCGATGAACAATGGGAGGACAGTGACAGGGACCTTATACATTTTTTAAAATTAAAAAACAAAAGGCAAAGCATAGAATTTTCTTTCCCTTGTGATTCATGACCTTGGCTCACAGCTGATCCTGAGCAGCCCGTTTGGTGTCGCCCATCAGAGGCAGGAGCGTGTGCTAACTGTCCCCAGCCAGGCCAGGGCTGTGAGCTGCGCATTGGGTGCCCTCTGTGCCACTGCGGTCGGGATGCCCAGCCTTGCAACGCGCCCTGTCCCTGCCTACACCGTCTGTAGCCCGGCGGCCGGGGGCCAGATGGGCCTGGGAGGGGTGGGCCCAACTTGCGGTGCCCACAGGGTGGGCGGATGGCAGGGCACCCAGCCCCAGCCGCGATCCAGACCAAGCCGGGCCACCCCTCCCCCTCGACTCCAGGCATGCCTGGATGTGGCCAGCCATCAGGCTGGTGCATGTGTCACACCCAGGCACCCCCAGAGTCCCCTGGGCAAACCCAGATCAGCCCCTAAGGACTGCCAGGTGCCCCCCCCCAACCCTGCCCCAATAAACATGCAGAAGAAAAGGGCAAAAAAGCCCAAAACCAAGCAGGTTCTGCACTGGGCAGAAGGTCCAGGGGTAGAGCAAAGTTAAGGTAAAGAAATCGGTTTTCTGTTGCTGTTGTTCTGTCTGGGGCCCCGCAGACACGTTCTGCTGGAGTGCAGGGGGCCATATCCCGGGGGTGGGGCTGATCGGCCATGTGGAGGCGCGCGTGGGCCAGATGGACCACCTACAACCTTGCTAATGGACCGCCTTCAAAAAGGTGGGTAACATTATAAGTGGAGGGGGTGGGGAGAAACAATGCATGCAGATCACGTCGGAAGTGCGGAAAAGGAATCCACCAGAACCACACTAAGACTAACTGTGTCCCTTTCCCAATAATGGGCTGGAGCGATAGCACAGCGGGTAGGGCGTTCGCCTTACAAGCGGTCAACATGGCCGACTCGAGTTCGATTCCTCCGCCCCTCTCGGAGAGCCCGGCAAGCTACCGAGAGTATTCGATATGCCAGACACAGTAACAACAAATCTCCAATGGAGACGTTACTGGGCCCGCTCGAGCAAATCGACGATCAACGGGAGGGCCTTTACCTTTCCCAATAATCAATACAAATCAGAGCCCCAAAGATACTGAAAGAAAACGACTTTATCTTCGTTCAAAGCAAAATACCCAAAGATGTGTGACATGTGACCAAGCTGACTGACAGCCTTAAAAAGAGGAAAAAGTCACCTTCTCCTCTCTGGAAAGAAAGATGGCGGCCGCATGGGAGCCTTGTGGACAGCAGGTATGAGCCGGGGGTGTGGGGGCGACTAAAACCTCATGGGAAGGGGGGCGTTCCGGTCCGTCCTTCACGCCCTACCGAGGTCACCAGTTGCCCCCCACGAGCGGCTCTCCAGCATGGCCACAGTCCCAGAAGCACAAGGACTTAATGCAGAACCCGGCAGCTTGGAGCAGAAAAGTGAACGGACTATGCGTTAATCCAGGCCATCAGGTCTGTCCGGAGGGGAAAGGATGTTGCCCCAGTCGCCTTCTCCTCTCTGGAAAGAAAGATGGCGGCCGCATGGGAGCCTTGTGGACAGCAGGTATGAGCCGGGGGACTGGGGGCGACTAAAACCTCATGGGAAGGGGGGCGTTTCGGTCCGCCCTTCACGCCCTACCGAGGCCACCAGTTGCCCCCCACGAGCGGCTCTCCAGCACGGCCACGACTCCAGAGCACAGAAACCAATTTCTTAACTATCTGACTTTCAGTAGAAATACTTCCAGGGTCAATAAGTAAAATAGCAGAAATCCAAAACCAACAAATAATTCTTGAACCCAGCTGTAGAAAGCAAATCACTTCACAATGCTTTGCCAGCATGTCTGATTCGGGGGGGGGAGGGGGGAGGGGTAAACTCTAAATTATAGTGGTGAATCTTTTATTGAAACAATGAATCTAATCAAAGCAGAGAGAGTGTTAACTAGAATTCATCTGCCCCACAGGGACTGGGAGGGGTGGGGGGTGGGGTTTTATTGGGGTTCTTCATGGTAAAAAATAAGTTTTGGTAAAGGGAAATGTGCTTGATATTTGCATGACTGAGACCTAAACCTGAAAGCTTTGTAACCTTTCCCATGGTGATTCAATAAATAAAAAAAAAAATTAAAAAAAAAAAAGAGGAAAGAGTGAGGCCGGGAGATGATCAAAGGGCAGCACGCTTCTCTCGCATGCAGCGGGCCTGGGTTCGATCCCCAGCACCCCACATTGTCCCCGGAGTCCATTAGGAGTGATCCCTGAGCACAGAGCCAGGAGTCCGCCCTGAGCACCACTGGATGTGTTCCCTGAAGAAACGAACAAAAAAATAAAAAAAGACATGAAAGGGAGAACGTGGTGGAAAACAATGAGTGGAGGGGAGGATCCAACCATAGTTGGGCACGTTATGACTTCTGTCAAGTAAAATAACGGGAAGGAAGCAGCTCCGCAGGCGGAGCAAGGAGGGAATGGCTGGGTCTGAGGAAGGGCTGGGAACTGTGTGCCTCTCGCCGTGGGAACGGGCCGGGGGAGTCCAGGGGGCACAGAGGGACACCAGGCCCTGATACCCGCCTTGCTCAGTCACCAAGCCGGTGGGTGCATTCCCGGGATGACGCACAGAGGAATGTTCAACGTGGCTGGGCAGTGGGGCGGGGGCTCGTTCTATGCAGCACCTGATACTCTGTCCGGACGGGACAGCCTGGGTCCTGCAGCTGCCCCCGGGTGAGCTCCACAGTCACCATGAGCCCCGAACCCCGGCGGGGAGGCAAGCCAAGCTGATCCATCACAGTCTGGGCGGTCTTTCGACAGGAAACGCTGGGGCCTGCTCAACAGCGGGGCGGGCCCAGTCCCTGGCACCCCACAGCCGTGCCCCACCCCGTTGCCTCGGCCGCCAACAGCACATCTTTGCAGAGGCCCAAGTGACACACATCGGACATCGGGCTGAAAAGTCACTGCAGCCTGGTGCCTTCCCCAGCCTCTCCCCGCGACTTACAGCGGCTCCAGCAGCCGCCCCCACCCCCAGCGGGCACTGCGGCCACTCAGGGGCACAGTTCTACGGATCCTGGAGTTCCTCAAGTGACACTTCCAAGTCCCACGATCGTGACATCCGAGTTAGGAG